TGGGGGGGGCGGGGGAGGCCGAGCTTGGGTTTGATCCACGGGGCAGAACCAGGAGCTGCAGCATCCCCACCATCCTGTCCTCACTGGCTCTTCCATCTGACTCCAAACTTACACGGTTTCCTTTATCTTGAAAAATCCTTCCACTGAGCCTGCTGCGCCTCTGTGAGCACACTTTTTTCTCTTCTTGCTTCTACGGCCGTTTTCCCTTCCTCATCGCTTACCTTCCACCCCCAGCATTTATAATTTGACCTCTGACCCCATAATTGGACAGACTCTTCTCTCTGTAGGGCACCAATGATGCCATTCCAGCCCGCACTGTGGCTTTCCCTCAGGCCTCGTCCTGGTATTGTTGGATACTGAATCTCAGGAAATTTCTTTGGCTTTCATGACTTTAAAAGATTTGCTTTGCTTTTCTCAATTTATTCCTAATTTGTTTCCTTGGGTGGTTCTGCTTTTTCTTGTCTGATAAGAAAGCATTTTATCTCCCCTTTTTATTTCATTGCCCTGAACATCAGTCTCATGGCTTTGAAGATCCCCTCTTTGTTGATGACGACCAACTTCATGTTCCCAATCCCCCCTCCCCTTCGTGCTCTACCTGGAACTGCCAACAGACATTTCCCCTTGGAGAGTCACTGTCATTTCCAGTGCACAGTTTCTGGAACCAGCCTTGCTGACCCTCCCAGGTCTCCCATCACCCTCCTCACCCCCCTTCCCAGCCAGGCACTGGGGACTTGACCTTTGTTGAGCTTCCCCCTGCAGCCGTCCCCTCCTGCCCACTCCTTTCTTGCTACCTTGCTCAGAATCCAGGATGCCACTGCAGTCTATCTTTGTTCCATTAGCTTCTATAATTAGATGGTGTAAAGAAACTCCTTTACTAAATGATGTTGGAAAAAAACACTTTGGATGGCTACTTAAAAATTTTTTTTTGACACCTATGTATGGAAAGTCTAGAATGCTATAGTTAGGAAAGTGAATTAGGTATATCTTTTTTCAGAGACTAAGTTAACTCATTTTCACATATTATTGAGGATTAAAAAAGGAATGATCAGTGTTTTGTTTTAGGAACCTTCTGGTTATATCAGAATAATACTTAAGAGGGAAATTTTTATTTTTAGAATTTTCAACCTTCTTCTATGTCAGCCTTCAACCTCTCTATTCCTGTGTAAATGGGGCACTGACATAAGACACCTCAGTAGTTTGAAGTCTGAAGCATGGTCCTGGGTCTCAAAGCTCTGCCTGCTATGCATATTTCATGGGACAAGTTTCCATGCACAGGGCTCCTGTTAGCAGCGAGGCGGGGAGCGGTGGCATGCCTGCATTCACAGTGCAATGGCCAGGTTGTAGCTGTCACTGTGATGGAACCTGTCAGCACTCCCCTCCCCCGGCCCCTGGTATAGCTCTCCTATAGCATTTCTCACACTGTACTGTCGTTGATGTTTGTCTTTGTGTCTTACTGGACTGAGATCATTTTACTCATTTTTGTGTTGGAACATATCTCTGGCACGAAAGAGACCCTTCATGCCTGATAAATGAATAAGTGAATGAGTGGGTGAATGAATGAGTGAATGAATGAGTTATTGGACCTGTTACCAGTATCAGCTCTTTGAGAATGGAGGACTCATATATCCTAGGCTTGTGATGTGCAGTTTTAATTTTTCCCTTTCTATCTGCCTCATTTCAGAAGGCCAGAAGTTGAGAGAGATGATTTAAATATGTGAGGTTGGTACTAGAGAGGGACACTGACAAATGGTGTGTTGAGGAAGATTCAGTCACACTCTTGCTTAGGACATGGCCTCTTGGTGGGTTTGGGCTTCTGGACTATTTTAAGTGAGTTTTGTTCTGGACGATCCCATGACCTCCTGTTGCCTGCCTTTCCCTGATCCCAGCTGGAGCTGTGTTTGGGAATATGCAGGAGGGTGTTCTGCCCTTCCACAGGTTGGTTCCTGGGCTCTGTAGAACTGAGCGAAGTAAATGAAAGGAACATTACACCTTCTATTCAGCAGCCCTAACTTTTCTTTCCTCTTCAACCCAGCCTGCATGATATACTTAACAATTTGAGATCAAAATATGCCAAGCAGACCAAGCAGTATCAGGAGGAGAACCAGTCACTAACCTCGGACTATAAACGCCTTGTGATACAATTCAAGGAGCTGCAGAAAGCCATGAGGTACGTTAGGGAACTGGGTCCTAGAACAGAGGTCGCAGGGGTGGAGCTGGTGGTGGCTGTGATTTCATTAGACTTTGATATCAGCAGATTTTGGGGGGAGCTGGACCAGGCCCTAAGTTCTTTGTGCTGTCTTCCTTGTTTCTTTACTTGCATGTCACCTACCTTTTCTTGAGACGTCCTGGGATGGCTTTCAGCCTGTCACAGGTGAGGGTTGGTGGCCCAGGGATTGGGCCAGGCCTGGGATTTACCACAGTTCTGTCTCAGTTCTCACTCTCCTACCAATTGAAGGACCCTCGCCAGGCCCTGGGGTCAGCTGACCATGCTCAGTAACTCTCCTTCGCAGGCATTTTGCTCTTATTGATGAGCAGAAGTTTCGGGAGATTTGGCTGATGAATGAAGAGGAGGCGAAGGATCTGATAAGCAGAGCCTTTGATGTAGACAGGATCATCCATACCCACCACCTGGGGCTCCCCTGGACGGCACCTGACTTCTGGTTCCTGAAGAACGTGGGGCCTATATCTCAGCAGCAGCTGCAGAAGTCAGCCACAGAAGTATTGGAAGAAGTGCTGATGCAAACAGGTGACTAGAACAGAGTCACAGTCTTAGGGCTCTGAGAACATCAGGTCCACCCATTCATTTCACAGATAAGGAAACTGCAGTCTAGAGAAGGGGAAGAGGTCTCATAGCTAAAAGGTCTGTAGGGTACAATTGGTTGACATAGCTTTTAAGTCTCTAATTTATAGCTGTACGCTTTCCCCTGTATTATCAACTGGAAGTTAGATCTAGAAGCTTGATATCAGACTCGGTTTTAATTTCCTTTTGCTAAGTACACTGCTGTGTACCTCCATGGGGATGAACTAAGGTGAGGTTGTCTCTCCTTTTGTGATGTTAGCAACCATTAATAATCATTGTGCAAGACCCATGGACTGCATCAGGGATTGCAAGATGGTGATATTCTAAATGTTATAAGGGCATCACTTATAATATGTTATCATAACAGCTGGAACACTCCTGAAAAGGGAATCTTCCCCCTGCCAGCTGTTCATTACTCTGAGATACAGTTTGTACAGGAAAAGCAGGATAGATGCTTATTCTTTCTTCATTTACCAGTTTGCAGAATAAATGGGTTGGGTCTCTAGCGTCTTCCTTAGGTCACCACTGATGTTTGTATACATTCAAAAAGCACCATGGTAAGCACATGGATTTAAACAAATTTGATATGTTTTGGTTGACTGCAATTACTATCCTTACTGATGCTCGAATTGTCCCACCTTTGGCCAACAGGAGTCTCCTCATGCTGTTTTCTGGGTCCTTTAGACACAACCCTGGTAGTCTTTGACAGTTTCTTGGCTTTCCAGAATGACCAGAGGTTCCAGGCTCACATTATACTTTTCCTGCTTCAAGTTTGGAAGCAGCCGTTTCTCCAGGGAGGTCTGGGTCTTTTCCATAGGGAACGGTATTTTGAAACCACAGCCTGGGTGCTGGAGCGCTCATTGTTTCGGATTGCTCATTGCTTCTAGGCTTCGTATGTTTTATAGATAAAATAATCCTATGCTCTTGACAGAGCCTAAAGGGGCTTTTTAGGAGGTGAGTTTTCTCAAGGGAAGACATTTGACTGTATTTCAAAGTCAACCAGGCCAAGGAATGATCTTCTTTCCCTTTTCCCCTTCTCTCTACGCCCATCTGCAGAAGAAGAGGGGCTGGAAGGGACCGACTCAGAACCAGAGTCTTACCTGGACCTGCCGGGGCAGGTTTCTGCGACCACGACCAGGAAGATCCTAACGCTCCTGTGTGACGAGTCGGTGAGGGGCTGCTGGGGGGCTGCTGGCGGGTGGCCCTGCCGACTTCCTGCTCTTGTTTCTCGTGTACTCTTCTGACGACTCTGGCGGGGCCAGAGGTGGCCCGGAGGCAGGAGTGGACTGGCCCTCAGGAGTATTACTGGGGGATGGTCACAGGCAGTCCAGCCTCAGAGCTGGCTCAGGGGCGAATGGGTTCTCCCTTAGCAGGTCAGCCAGGCGTAGTCCAGGCTGGCAACAGCCCCCTGCTAATGAAACAAAATGCTCATTCTGCAAGGGAAGGGGCACCAGTGCTACCTCCCTGAACCCGCCTGCCAAGTAATGTGGCTCCAACTGCACGGCCTTTTTCTCTCGGAGCTCCGTTGGCAATTATTCTGGGTGTATTAGGCGTTGGCTGTCTGCATTGCATATTAGCAGAACCCGCTAGACTTAGGGAGAGGGCTGCCTCGGAGCTGGTTCAGCTGGAGGGTGGGTGGTTACTTGATGGGTGCTTATTTAGATTTTACAGTTTTGAGATGATAGAAGAGGCAGAGCAAGGATCAGCAGCCTCCAACCCCCTGGGGACAGTTGGGACCATTTTCTTCGGCACGGAGGCCAGTTCCTGGCCCTGAAGGAGGCAGCTGGCAGGTGCTCCCCCTCTACCGCAGGCTCGCTGCCAGGGGCCACCTTCCCACTGCCTGCTTCCAACCTTTTGGTGCCTGCTGCTGTGCTCTGTAGCTATTTGGGGACTAGCATTTCGGCGAAGTGACATTGGGTAGGTGGGAATCTGTGACTGGGCCAGGTCTGGACTGCTGTGGGCAACTCAGGTTTTTACCCAGGGACTTGTGGGTGAGGCGAGTCTGCACCCTACTGAGGTGGGGGAATTACGCCCGTGGTGAGGATTGGCTTTGCCCCTGGGAAGGGCTCCAGGGCATCCCAAGCAGGCCCTGCTCTGGGGAACCCGCGGCCCAGCCTCGTCCCTGGGCTTCTGCTCTGAGGAGTCACCCCTGGCTGGTCGCAGAGGAGGCTGCAGACCCCGGGACTTGCCCCTGAAAGCTGTCTCTGACTGGGGATGCCGTCTCCCTTCTCCCCAGGGTTTCCTCATAGAGAACAAGCTGCTGAGTCTTCTCCTTCCCCTGGAGAAGACCGAGTGCTACCTGCTGAAGTTGGACGCCATATTCTCAGTGAGTCCCACTGGGCCGAGGGGACATGGGAGCAGGTGGGGGCCTCATTCCAAGGCAGCCTCCTAGGTGTTTCCAATGTTGCCTTAGCCCTGGGAGTCGATGTGGGTCTCCCAGGGCCTTCCTGGGCTCACCGTCCCCTCGCTCCCTTCTCTCAGTCGGCCTCAGGCATTAGGTGTCTCCCACCCCTGGCCCTGCCTCTGCAGGCTGCTCTCTTGGGGCCCAGCTCCCAGGCTGCAGATCCCCCCACAGCCCCCTTAGCACTCTAGTTCCCATCAGGCCTACATGGAGCAGTCTCCTCTCTGTTCTGATTCCAGCGTCCCCAGTTCCCTGCGCTGTCCCATGTTGAGTGGCCTCCAGTCTGGGCCAGGGATCCTGAGGGGAGCAGGCCAAGCCTCTTGCTCTCAGGGGCTGAGGACCTATCAACCCCATGGCAGGTGGCTCCCGATGTGGTGTCTGAGGAGTCATTCTGTCTTTTCCTCAGGCCCTTGGACTTGAAAGTGAGGATGACTTATATAAGCTGGTGAACTTCTTCCTCAAATACCGGGCTCATCATCTCCTCTCCAGCCAGGTGAGGCAAAGGGCAGTCGAAAAGAGAGCACTTTAAATTCTCCTGGAAGCCCCCAGGAGGCACTGCTAGCACTGGATAATATTTCTAGAGAAACATGAGGGTTTTATGGCAGGGAGAGGTAAGTTAGCATTTCCTTTATTATTATTGCCTTTTCTATTTGCAAAGGAAAGAATGGCTGGGGATGAGAGGGTGTTCTCCTACTGAGGCCTTCCCTCAAAGCCAGGCCTCCCAGGTGAGGTCTGGGCCCACCAAGTTATCAATATTTGATCTATAACACTTTCCTGCAAAGCTGAGCCCATTTATAATGCCTACCTTGATTGTAATGCACTATTCTGAGGAAATCATCATGATAAAAATATAAGATTTTAATTTGAACATTAAAAACTTGAATTTAAAAATTAAAAAGTTGAATTTAAAAGGATGTTTTTAGTATTGCTAGCTCCAGTGTAAGTATCCTGATATGCTTCCAAAAAGAGTTGGTTGTGTGGACAAAAGCCAGAAGCCATAAAGAAGAAAAACTCATAGTGCCCCATGCCAGAGCAGAATGTGGCCTTGTACTATTGCCTGGCCTCTGCTGGTAGGCTGCAGGCACTGACGCGGGTTGCACAGTGGAGGGGGGTGGAGAAAGATACATTTGACTATATTAAAAAAATTCTGTAGGACAAAAATCACTATAAGTAAAGTTAAGATACACATGACAGCTGGGAAAAAATATTTTTGACTCATGACAGTTAAGGGATAATTTCCTTAATATATAAAGAATTCCCATAAACCAATAAGAAAAAACCAACTACTCAATGGAACAGACAAGGGATCTGAACAAACAGCTCCTAGAAGAGGCAACAGAATTAACTCTTAAACATGTAAAAGGGTAATGGGGCTTTTTGTAGTAAGAGAAATGCAAATTAAACTGCTCAGATTTACCTTTGCCTGTCAGGTTGGCAAAGATGTGTGAGTTTGAGAACCCAGTGATGGCTGCGGTGTGGGAAACAGGCACACTCACAAGTTGCTAGTGGGAGTGTAACTTGTTGCAGTCTCCATGGGGGGCAGTTTGGCAGCATCAGTTATAAAACTGTATATGCCTTACCCTGCAATTCCTTTCCTAAGGTATACACATGCACAAGCACTTGAAATGTGCTTATTGTAGCGTGTTCATTGCAGCTTTGTTTGAAATGGCAGAAGACTGGAGACCACCTAAATTCCTACCATTAAGGACTTGATTAAATAATACATGGTGCATCTACACCGTGGGATACTGTGCAACTGTAAAAAAGAAGGAACAGTTCTTTGTGTATTTATTTGCTAGGATCACTAAGCTTTATTGGTATGTTAAAAAAGTAAAGTGCAGAATTATGCGTGTTGGATAGTATCATTGATGTAAAAATGGGATGGAAACGTGTCTTGTGTGGATATAATATGTCTTTGCAAGGATACATAAGAAACTGACAACATTGGTTTGTGGGGAGTGAATTGCAGGAACTAAGAGACAAGAGCAGGAAAAAGACATTTTGAAATTTAAAAATTAGAATAAAATTTATTTTCTATTATGAGTCGAAGGGAGGTATATATCACATAAGCTTTATGAATGCCGATAAAATAGCCCGTCAGCCCAGATTTAGAAATAGAGCATTATCATTGTTTCCAAGCCCGCACGTGCCTCTCCCTGGCCCATTCCCCTTCTTTTTCACTCTCTCTCCTCACTATTTCTTTTCTTGTGTAAATGTCTGCCTTTGATCTTTTCTGTAACTTCTATAACTTCCTATAAAATTTTCTCTTTTTTCCCCGTCTGTCTTTAAATTTTTAAAATTATTTTTAGAGAGAGAAGCATCAATTTTTGGTTCTACTTATTTAAACATTCATTGGTTGCTTCAGGTGAGTGCCCTGGCTGAGGATTGAACCTACAACCTTGGCCTATCGGATGACTCTCTAACCAACTGAGCCACCCAGCCAGGGCCACTTCCTGTCTGTTCTTTATACACTCATGCTTGTATAAACGCCCAACCCATGGTTGCCTCTGGTACCTTTCTTCAGATCAACCCCTGGAATCTGTCACCCCCTGCAGGAGCAAATGAGCCCGGTGCCAGCATTGGAGCCAGCAGAGCAGCTAGAAATCAAGGGAGAAGAAGAGGAAAGTCGTGTGGAAGGAGAGCCAGAAAGCCTTGTGGAAGGGGAGGCAGAAAGCCTTGTGGAAGGGGAGCCAGAAAGCCTTGTGGAAAGGGCGCCAGAAAGCCTTGCGGAAGGGGAGCCAGAAAGCTCTGCTGAAGAGAGGGCCCCCTCTTCTCCCAGGCTCATCCACCCCAATGATGTCCTTAAGATCCTGGAGGCCTTTGTCAAGGGCCTGAAGAAGCCCAGGTGGGATGTGGCGCAGAGGCCTTGCCTGAGAACTGGGGGAGCTAGATGGAAAGAGGGGCCAAGCAGATGGAGAAGTGGAGAAGAAGCTGCTGAGCAAGAACCCGGGGGAGTGAGGAAGGGTGTCTGAAAGGACGCTAAGGGATCAGCGGACATTATAATGAATGAACCGGTGGAGAAGTCCATCCGTTGTTCATTCATCCGTTCATTTTTTGGAGTTGGCTATGTGTAGGCCCCGAGGGAATAACACCTGTGATCAGAACAATGGTCCAGTCGTGTGCAGGCGTCACGTTGCTTAGAGGAGGAAGTGGTCAACTCCATTTGGCATGTGGGGGAGAGCTTCGGGAGGGGGTGGCACTGGAACTGGGTTTTCCTAGGTGGATAAAGTGGAGGGAAGGGCATTTCAGGATGTCACACATGGGGAAAGGCCCGGTGTGGTCAAGAATAGGAACGGAGGTATGGCTCTAGTGCCAGGGCCTGGCTAGTGGGCCGGTGGGTGGGAGAGCCAGCTCAGATCTAGGAAAGCCTGCTATGCGCCCAAGATCTTGGTCTTCTCCTTTCAGTGGACTGGAGCCAGAAGTGGACCTTTAGCAGTGGGGGAGCTGTGATTAGAATTGCATGACAAATATCGAGAGCTGGTTGGAAGCATTTGTGAGAGAAATGGGCATAGTACTGAGCTCTAAAGCCAGTGAGGTCTAATGATTGAGGGAAAAGGGTGGAGAAACTGCAGTGGTGCCCTGGCACTGAGACCCAGGACCAGTGAGGAAAAGCGTATATCCTTTCCCAGAGCCTCCCCTAATCCGATAGGCTTGTGTGACTGAGTGGGAAGGTGACAGGTAGCAAAGCAGTACGTCTGTGAGGGACAGGCACTGTGACTGGCGGTGTTTGGGGGCTTGGGTGGTGCCAGGTGGACTTGATGGCACCTGTGCCCTTGACCTTCAGGGACTCTCGGGCCCCAGTGAAGCTGCTGAAGGATGAGCGAGATAACTCCAAGGACTCCGAGTACTGGAAGGCCCTGGCCACGGTTATCCCTCAACCCACGCAGAACCTCTGGGACGGTCTCTACGCAGCCTTGGAGAAGTACCAGTGCGTGTGTGTCATGGCCCAGGAGGAGGGAGCGGGGCAGGCAGTGGGGAAGGATCCCGCTGGAGCGGCCACATTTGCCGCCTCCCTGCCCATGAATTCCTGGGGAGGAGCTGCCTTTGGCAACTCCTGTTGGGGGGTGTGCAGTGCTGGTGACTGGCCCTCTGGCCCTCTGGCCCTCTGGCCCTCTGGCCCTCTGGCCCTGCTCTCCTGTTCTGTTCCCTCTCGCCTGGCTCGTTTCAGGCAGGAGGGCTGCTCTGCTGGGTGCGGCTTCTGGGGCCCTCTTCCATCTCTAGCCAGAACAGAAACAGAGATCCCTGCTAGAGGAGGGGGGAACCGTGGCATCTCACCAATTTTTCTGCCCAAAGCCTCGTCCTGACCCAGAGGGCCGAGCTGCTGCTCGAAAACAATGCGCTGGAGCAGCAGAACACGGAGCTCCAGCTGCTGCTGCAGCAGTACCTAGACTCCAAGGTGGGCGATGGGACCCTCGGCGGGGGGTGGGGGGTTGGGCAGGAGGCTGGAGTGGGGCAGAGGTGCGGGGGCACTGGGGCTGATAGTAGGAAATGAGGATCCAGTCCCTCATAAGAGGCAAGTGAGCTTTGAGATGCGGGTTGTCATGGTGCCCGAGATGCCCGTGGTTCTGGGCACCAGCTGCTCGCTGGACCACTCTCAGAAGCAGTGTGGGGCCAGTGATGTGTCACAGCTTGCTGACACAAAAAGGGGGATCAAAGCCTGGAGACTGCTTGCCAAGAGCATGTGCTCTCCCCGCTCTGCCAGCCAGGTTATCTGGCCTGGGATGTGACATGGACAGAGGAGGCTCCAACTAGGGCGGAGATTCTCTGGCCCCCACTGGTGCCTACTCCAGCGATAGTTGGGGAACATGGCCTGACAAGAAGAGGAATCTCACTGTCTCTGCTCCCTTCAGTTCATAACACAATTAGTTGCTGGTGGGGTGTCCTTCACACAGTGCTGAAGTCATGGACCAAGAAAGTCCTGACATTGGGCTGAGCATAGTTCCTCTGCCATCAGCTGTGCATGTGAGAGGTGACTGAGGCCAGCCGCAAACTCAGGCACTGGGGCTGTGTGGCCCTGTGTGGTCTCAGGCCCCAGGCTACACCTGGACTGAGGATGTGGTAAGCTTGGATGTCATGATGACCTCGTGGCCTGTGACAAGGATTCAGACATTACGTGACCATGTGGTCCACCTTTCCATCAATGCTACTGCAGAAGGGGTTGGGGAGGAGCAGGGTAGACTGGGGATGGGAGGACAGGTGAAGAGGGGGAGAGAATTTAAGAGGATGGGTCAGAGTAGAAGGTTAAAGACATTTCCAGAGGTTAGCTGGCTGGAGTAGAAGCCGAGCAAGAAGCCCTGCAACGTGTCTTCTGAAGGGAGGCAGATGTGGGCTTTCCCGACATCTGGAAGCACCTGGGGAGGAAACGCATGAAGAGATTCAGAGGCCTGTGGGAGCACCGCCGTGTGCACCTGACCGCAGAGGTCACGAGGAAGGAGGACCCTGGGAAAAGGTAACGACCTTCACTCGCTCTTTTCCAGATAAACTCGGAACTGCAAGTTCCTCCGACTCAGGTGTTCCGGATCCCCACAAAGTCCAACCAGACCTGAAATGGGTGCTGTGTAAGAGTGGACACCGGTGTTGGTGCCTGAGCCGGAGCTGGCACATGGGGCCCGGGGAGCTCAGGGCGTGCTCTGCATTTCCCAGGGCTGCCACTGTAGCAAGAGGAGTTTCCTGTATTCTGTTGTCATGAGTAAAGTCTTTAAAAAGTTGTGGGTGAATCTTTTTTTTAAAGGAGGTCAGGTCCAGTGAGACACAGGCTCCTACCTCCACCTCTGGGTTATGAGGGGACTTTGTTCCCCGCCACAGATTATGATATGAGGACAGGCACGGTGCTGTGGGATGAGGCACAAGCCAGTGGTGTGGGGCTCCCTTGTTGTTTCGGGGGGCAGTTGCAGTCTATGTGTGGAAGCTGGAGCTCTGGGGCAGCTTGTGGGGGTTTCAGCTTTTGGACTGTCCTTGGGCCTGTGGGACCCTTCTGGGGCCCCCTGGGCTAGGATGTGAGGCTTCTGCAGTGGGCACCCTGGGCAGTGGTCCTATGCATTAGGCCCGCCTTGAACCCTGGGACACAAGGCCATTCACCCAAAGGAAAAGCCAGAGGGGCCAGCTGGTACTATGTTTGACAACCTCAGAGTGCCCCAACCCTGCCCCACACCAGTCCCCCTATTTGAGCAGACATGTCAGGTCAGTGTTTGATTTCTTTTATTAAGAGAAAGATCACCACTCAGAAAGGAAAACAGCCAAGAGAAACCCAGCTCGGGCAGGCAGGGGCAAGAGGAAGCTCTGG